CAACATCGCCTCAAAGACCAAGGCTCCTCCAAGAGGCCCACAGACCGCCCCCAGGCAGACCTAGAGGCCAAAATCCTTGAAAACCCACGGAACCTCAAAAAGTTGCGCCTCCTCGCTTTTTCGCTTCCGATGGGCTTCAAGATGACCCCAAGATAGCCCAAGAGAGCCCCAAGACAAGACGGCCCGAGAGGCAAGAGCGCCACAAGATGACCAAAGAGACCATTTCAGGGCCTCCAAGGGGGGGCCGTCATTGAGCGAACCCCCCAACTGAGCCCCACGACCCCCCCCGAAGAGCCCCAAGAGAGCTCCAAAATCCTCAAAAAGAGCCCCAAGAGAGCCTCAAGAGGGCCCCGAGAGAGCCACAGAAGGACCCAAAAGCGCCCAAGAAGACCTCAAGACGGTTCAACGAGGCTCTCACAACTAAAAATCCTCCTAGGCATCCTCCTCATCCCCCTCCTCATCTGAACTTTTTCGCTGCACCGCAAAATATGACGAATCGAACATGAAGGTCATCGCAGCGTCACTGGGGCGCCTATCAGCTTATCGAGAACGATAATGAAGCGGAATGCGAAAGTGAATGTGTCACTGTATGTTGCTACACTTCTCTCGTTACGACAAGTCCTTGGATAGGCTGATGTGAATTCGCGAAGCGTCAATGCCTTCTGGATTTAGGTCGGGCATGTCCTCCTATAGGCAGGCAGCGTTGGAAAAATTAAGCACCATCCAAAATAACCCAAATAGCCGATAGGGCACGAACAATCGTCACCAACTCATTTGTTACTATTCTTGAATACTGCTCCGGTAGAGGGACATGCCCGACTTAATTCTGGATGCCCTGGGATGCTAAAAGAAAAAGCAACAAATGCGCACCCCCAGGGCCACAATCAGATATAAGTTGTACAAGGTCCGCGTTCCAGGGGCGATAATCTCATGTACATGATGCCACCTGAGGGTTCCCCGGGTCACAATCCCATGTAACTTACGACACATGTGGACTCCTGTAGCGACAGCACCGTGAGAAACACAGCGCGTGCGCGCTCTCGGGTCACAACGCACGATTACTTCCCACGCACGCACACTCCCGAGGCCACAACCCATCAAAAAGTACGAGGCTTTCGCGTTCCCGAGGCCACAACCCTAATCAAATACAGCTCGTTCACGTTTCCAGGCCACAAACCCTCGCACAATACGACGTTGCCGCGCTCTCGAAGCCACAATATGTTTCGTAAGTACGAGGCACGCGTGCTCCCGATCCCACAATGTTATGGAATGTACAACGCAATCGCGTTCACCAAGGCCACAGTCATTTGTAAAGTATGGTGCTGTCGCGCTCCCACCCAGGCGTCAATTACAAAAAAATCCAGCCCCGAGGCCACGATCCTGAGGTATCTTCTGCCAGTTCATGGCGCACTCGCGCCCCCGACGCCGCAACCCTGCATAAATTGCTACACTCACGCTCGCGAGGCAACCGTGGTTCGTAAATTACGAAACACGCGCACTCCCGAGGCCACCATCCCCCGAGAAATTACCTCAGACGCGCGTAACCAGCCAGCCGGCCAGCAAACAGCTCAGACCAAGTGCCAACCACCTATTACAAGGCGACAACAAGCCAACCAGACCAGCTGCCAGACAGCCAACCGACATGGAAAAAAACAACCGATCAAGCGTGGCCACGCTAGCAATATCAGGGCGAGCCCGCGATTGACAGAGAAAGCCTCCAAATTCACGGTCGGACTGCGAAGCACGTCCAAGAGACTGGTGTGATTTGGTGGCTCCGCGACTGTGCTTGTATACAATACATATATATATATATATATATATGTATATATACAAACATAAACAGACGTACATGCGTCCACCTATATAAACTATACCTACACGCATAAACAAATAAAACACAACTGGCCCTGTGGTGCCGCCCACCCGGGCATGTTCGAACTGGGGTCCAGGATGATCGCTGGGGTCTTGGATGGTCCTAAGATGCTTTTTAATGACTTCACACGGCCTGCAATGACCCCCGACACGGCTCAAAAAGGCCCCAAAGCGGCCCAAGACAGCCTCCAGATGGTTAAGAGGCCCTCATCGGGGCCCCAAGACCACGCCAACGAGGACCCCAAAAACAAAGATCTATTATTTTTGACAAATGTTGCGCAGACCTGTGCGAAGTCACAATTTCGACTGCCCAAGAGACACCTGGAATCGCTCCAGGACGGCCCGAGAAGCCTCCAACAGCGCCCCAAAAATGTCCAAAAGGCCAACAAGACGGACCGAGAAGTCCCAAAATGACCCCCACTGGAGGCCAGAGTGACCCCTCTTGGGGTCACTCTGGCAGAGTGACCCCAAGAGGGGTAACTCGAACTAGCCTTGGGGGTCTGTCCCTCCAAGACGGTTTCCAAGGCCCGCAACATGACCCAGGAAGTCCCCGATAGCCCGAAAGTTGCTCCCAGAGGTCCCCAAGACGCAGGGAAAAAAGCCCCGAGAAGCCCATCCGAAGGCAAGCTCAAGAAACCCCTAATTGGCCGTCGCGAAGCCCCAGACCAGCATTCAAGAAGTCCCCAGTACGCCTTCCAATGGGAAGGGGGAGGAGAAGGAGAAGGAGAGAACAAGTAGGAGGAGCAGAAATGAGGAGACAGGAAGCAAAGGACTCGGTTGTACACAGATTCGAACACTTCAGTCCATCACGTCAGTCAATCGTCTTCTACGTTTCCCGCCATGCAACTACTGACAACGCTGTTGTTGACACCATCCGTAAAGAACGCCTTGGGCGCCTGGCATCTCAGGGCCCAATTTAGATGATGCTCCCATTCAGCTTTCACGCGCATGTGCACCGCAGTTTGCGCGCTGCGCCCCCGTAACTGTTATCATCAAACCGCAACATGAAAACCTGGTCGGACAAGAACGGGAAGCGCCGATGGTGTCCATTGGGCTCGTCGGGGGGAAGGAAGGAAAGGATGATGGCGACGACAAGGCGGCGAATGTCGAGGATGGCAACGTGGATGACGGGTAGGGCAGCGAGGGGAGCAGAAAGACAACGAGTAGGAAGACAAGCACGAGGACGAGGAAGAAGAGATGGAGCAGGACGAGTACGAGGAGGAACGAAGCGAAGGAGGAGGAGGAGGAGAAGAAGACGAGGAAGAAGAAGAAGAAGGACGACGACGACGACGAAGAAGGACGGAAAGGAGCCCGACGAAAAGGACGTCGAAGAAGAGAGGGGCCCCCGTGATCTTTTAAGGCTACCCTGGGGGCTGTTAGGGCCGTCTGGGGCATCCTGGGACATCCTGGGGGCCTCTTGGGAGCCAATCGGGGTCCTCTTGGGGCTCTCTCAGGCCATCTTGGCGCCATCTTGGGCTGTCTTGGACCGTCTTGGTGCCCTCTTGGGCAGTCATGGGGCCTCTTCCGATGCTCTTGGGGGCCTCTGGGTGCCTCTTGGGCCCTCCTGGAGCGAGTCCAAGATAATGCTGGGTCGGAGTCCTCTCCAGAGCCGACATCTCAAGGAAATATCTCGAGCGAGACAGCCATTTTCCCGTCATCCGCCGGCGAGCTGCCCAGTGCACCCCGCGTCCTTTGGCTAGAGAAAATTTGTACGTACCCCAGGACCAAAGGTACACGCCGGAGGCGCGTCCTGTCATCCGCCACCGTGCTTCTACCACGAAGAGTCGGGAGCGGCCAAGATGGGGGTGTACAAGGGGGGGGGGTGCAAATCATGGCTGGCGGCATGTGCGCGGCCCGGGGGGGGCCAGGGGACGCATTGAAATAAGAAGAGGCGCCATGAAATCTGGGGAAATATCATGGCCCACGCCATGATATCCACCCCCCCTAGTCATCACCCGCCTCTTGGCCGCCCCCGAGCTTCTACCACGAAGAAGAGTGCCCCAAGGCTCACGCAGCCCTGAGAGGTAGAGGGGCTGTCAGGTTCCCAAAAAAGGCCCGACCCCCGGATTCCAGAGCGGTCGTCCTCGGCGGTCCCTGACGCTGCCGGGGTGTGTCGCGTGGGCCTCTGGGGCGGTGACGCCGTCGAAAATGACCGGAAACAAACCACAGAATTCGCCAGAAGCACCGAAAGAGGGTCCAAGAGTGGCCCGAGACGGCCCGAGAAGGCTTCCAGACTGGCCACGATGCCCCCCTGATGGTCCAAGGCGCCTCCAAGTCGCCCCAAGAGGCCTCCGAGAGCACTCCCCGAAGGCCCCGAGAGGCCAGAATCATTAATGTTGTCTGGGTTTTTCCACGGTTGAGGAGTCCTCGACTTTCGAACCAAAGCACACAGAACGACCAAGGGTACCCTCCCCAGGGTGCACAAGAACATTCAACAAACACGATGAACATCAGGGTGCCCTCCCCGAACCGACCTCGATCTTATACCTCGGTCTGACAGTTCGCTGCAAAACGATCCCAAAAGGCCCCCAAGACCGGCACAAGACAGCCCAAGAGGCCGCCAAAGAGGGCGAGGCGCCCGGAACGGCCCAAAGATGGGCCCAAAGACAGCCCCAAGAGGGGCCAAAGAGGGGGAACACCAAGGGAAAATCCGAGTCTTCCGCCCCAAGATGCCCAGGAGGCCCCATAGGAGGCGCCAAGGAGGCCCCCAACAGGCCCCAAGAGACCCCAAGAGGCCCTCAAGACGCCCCAAAGGGCCCAAAAATTGCTATGAAGAGGCCTCCAAACTGCCCCCAAAAGGCCCCCGAGAGGCCTCCCGCGACAAATCCACGAACATCCCCGAGGGGCCACAGGCCATTAGAGAGCACTAACATACACACGCCCAGCTAACGCGGAACGGGCCACCATCAATACAATTTAGCACCTGTCGCGATCGCCAGAATAATTTCTCTCAGAAGATTACCAAACACGTGGTGCCACGAAACGCTTTAGATTATTGGTCAAAAGCATCAAATTTCAGATACATGACGACATCCTTCCCCGCCCGCACTTTATCTTCCCTTCCCCTCCTCTCCCCTTCACCCGTCCCTCCTTCCGCTTCCGTCCAAGGCAATTTCCACAAAGCCCGCCTGAAATCTGCCCAGCTGTCTGCTGTGGACGAAGACGTCGTTCCTGCGGAAATTGCAGAATTACATCGTCTCCCATACGATGCTGGGCGTATCCACACACACACACAACAAATGCCCTCGGTATCGGTCTCCCCATCCACCCAGCCGACCATTGCTGCGTCGTGGCTACATTCCATCCATGTTGCCCTAAATGGGCCACGCGTCACGAAACAATGTGAAGGTAAGTTCCCACTGTTACCGCATTGGCAATTGCCGCACAAGGGCTGAAATTCTCAACAACAAAACCACAACGCGCTTCCAACTGTCACGATCGTTTACTCTGTGTGCTGGTCCTCATCAGTTTACAGACAAACCAGCCAATCAGACTGTCGCAACGGCTTTCTTTTTCAATATAGACGCGCATATTGCACACCTGACAAAAACTCGCACTTGCAAGATCCGATGCACACGCAAGCAATGGCACCACGCATGGGGCGCAATTGAAGCGCACGGCATTCAACTGTGTTCTCCTACGAACAGCTCCAATATTTTATAACACCGCCCGCTCCACATGAACGAGGCGATGTCAGGCATCGACGATGGTGGCAACGATGCGTGACGAACTTGGGTTGTGGGGAGCTGGCCCAGTGTGCAGAGGCAGGGCCATTGTCCGACTGGGGTTGCGGGATAGGCTGCGCGATGGGCACCTGGACCGGTACGCTGTGTTCCGGCTAGCGGTGCCATGCTGACGCACGGCGGATAACGCGGTGGGTCGCGCGGTGGCTGAACGGTGCGTGGTAGGTTGATCGGTGTTCCACAGAAACAAAAACAACAGCATCAGTCGTCACGTAACACACGCGTAGGGTTCCACACATACACACACATGCACACACACAGAAAGCTCCACAAGCCGAGTGTTCAACAAACACAAACACACACCACACTCACACATAAACACACACATATATATATATATAAACAAGACTGAATTGGCGCTTCGCGCCATGCACCTTGTTCCGGACGCTTCCCTGGCAGAGCAATACATCACCGCTTGCTTCAGCAGAGGGGACCTCGAGGCCTGGTGCCTGCTAACACCGCGTTCGCCCGATGCGCTTGCACGCTTGCGCGCAGGAACAGAGAAGGAATGATGATTTTTTCACGCGTGAAGGTCCTTTCGGAAGTAAGGAGTTCTCCGAAGACACGCCGAAGAAGTCGCAGCAGCTCCGAACAATTCAATGTTTGGTCGCTTCCTGAATGCCTGAGGAACTCTAAGCACTCACGAAATCTTCGAACGTCGAACTTCGAATCTACATAAATTGCTTGACCGTCTCGATCGACGAACTTAAACCTCGAGCCTCAAGCGTGGAACCCAGATCTTCGGGACAGCTCGATGTACTTCGTAGGAGAACTCCGTCTGGACGCTTTGGGGTCTTTTTGGGCCGTCCTGGAGCCCTTTTTTTTGTTCGGGAGACGGGCCTTACGCAAGATGGCATTAGTCAACGCGCGTAGTGTAATGCACTGACCATGAAATCAAGTCAAAGAGGTGTTGAAACGGCGCCGACTGCACCACGACGAGGCTCTGTGGCGGCAGACCTTCGCCGGATAAGCGCCACCACAATCAGGAAGGAGGAGAAAGAGGAGGAGGAGAAGGAAGAGGAGGAGGGGGAGGAGGAGGGGGAGAGGCCGAGGACGAGAAGAGGATGATCAGCCCTGCAGGGCGTCTTGGCTAGGCGCCGCGCTGGCCGTGTCCCTCGGCCCAGGCGCGCTCCCGACAACAAGGGCTCGGA